AGCTGTCCATGGTGCTGAATTAACACACCTCATTTTAATCCACCTCAACCTGTGACCAGGAGGGTGAAACTCTCTACTCTGCAATGCATTCAAATAGTTTGATACCTTTTAAAAATCTAATACTCCATGTAAATTATGGGGTAATATTTTCAGTCACAATGCTAACAGTCTACTCAGACTACCATATGCTGGAATCACTCTAAACGTTAAATAGACATACATTTACAGTTTACATTAAAAATATAACAATTTCATGAGACACATTTTTTCCTTGATATAAAGCTGCATTATAACAGATGATCTGTCACACGCATTTTGGGACACTTCAGTGTCAGTTGCTCGCTGTGAGTCTCAGCGCAGTAAAATGGGCTTTTTTCAGATGATCAATTTACTTGACTTGACTTATATTTTCGATAGGCTATTATTTTTTTCGTTATTGTATAATTGTTTTCAGTTAATCAGGCAAGTTTATTCTATTGAAATTTATAATAGTTTTCGTATGACATGCTACCTGTCACACGACACGTTGTTGCTTCGAGCTGACACTTTTGACCCCTGCGATCACATGACATGTCAACACATGCACGTCTAATAACCACACGTCTAGGCGTGTGCAGGCATTGCACGCGCATTGCATGTGTAACAAGTACACAGTGAATGCACACGCAGTGCACGCGAAGCAAGTACACGGTGATGGTTGCACATGCAATGTACACGTATCACGTACGCAGTGAATGCACTGTGTGTGTGTTCGCTTATACGTTTCACCCCTCATACACACACACACACACACACAAAGTGTGCGATAAGTGCGATAAAACCTCTGCTAGCCAAGCCAATACTTACTAATACAATCAGTACATAATAATCAATACATGTGATCAGCATGTAGAAAGCCATATTTCAATCTGCTCTGTCCGCAGTCTCATTCACTGCTATTATGATTTATGATTGCGGTCGACTCAAGCACATCGCGCTCACGTGCTAACAGCAAACTGTTAAAGACAAACTAAAATGAAAGCTGTCTGTATATAGGCTAACACTTTATCTTAAAATGTACCTGAGGCAGCCGACCTGCAGACAGTAAGTCTCCGAAGTAGAGGGTGACAGAAGTAACAGTGCCAGGTCACCATTGGTCGGGCATCCCTCCTCCTCTTTCAGCTCTCACCAGTGTGTGAAAGCCGGGCCAATATTAATCCTTGTTCGAGCTCTTGTTTTATCACTCTCCCGTTTTCTTTTCTTTGTCTCCTCGGACAACACCTTCACCTTCTCCCTTTTCTTTGTCGCTTCAGCCATGACAACCACGTCTAACTTCGTTCACCTTGGTTTGGCTACGCTAGTCTAAAGAGAGGAGGGGATATGACATATGCCGTAAAGCAGCCGAATTTTGTAGTCCTTTTGTGTCCGGGTTCCTACCTGAACCCCGAAACTACATAGTGCCAGTGCAAGCAAAACAGACGCTCTCAAGCAATGATGGAGGTGTCATCCAACCTATTGTGAGTTGATGTAGCATCACAAGGATCTTGGATATATATTTTGAGGGCTCAAAAACTCTTTATGACAAGTTCATGACAGTGTCATGTCATAGTTATGACAGTAGATACCTTCAAGTAAAGTGTTACTCAATAATGTTTTTTCTTAACCTAATCCAGTGCTTTTGTTGATGTCCTAGCGCTGGTAGCGGCACACTGAAACGTCAACAGCATATGCAGGCGGATATGTAGCACAGCGATATGTGATGACTTGGGATGTGAACAGGTTGGTATGCTCTTAATACTTGCAGTTTTAGGGACTTGGAGCTCGCTTACCTTTCCAGTTGACTTTACTCCTCGGACAATGAACAGGTAGGTAATCAGCCAGGAAAGCAGGAGGCACAGGGCCTGGCCTGTATGAATGCCTCCATTTTCTTCAATAGAAGACGAGATGTTTAGTGTTTGCCTGTAGAAGAAGTACTGGGTGGGTGTAGCCGTTTCACACTCCTCTATAGGTCCTGTCCAGTTGGAATTGATTGGGCACTCTGCCCATGGCAGGACTGACTGGCATGGGAGTGAACATAGAACAGTATCGGTATGTTATCATACTGTGTAAACCAGATCCAACATTTTGTATGCATTTATAGTATTAACTACTGCAAAAATAACGGTAGTTTGTTAGTTAGCAGCTCACTTGAAATGAATGAAAGAGGTACCAGAAACTCCATCCATTGATGATGTTGTAATAGAGACACAGATACAGGGATGTCACAACACTAGCAAGACCTAAAATGAGAGAATTATACAAAAAATAAATAAAATACAAAATTCACTACAAGGAATTATTTGATCCCATTTTAAATAATCTACAACCACCTATTCACCCATAATTCTTCCAAGTCATTTTGTCCATTTGAGTCAAAAATAGATTCAAAGGTCTATGATGTAGAAACCAAGTCCCATGAGCAGGGTTAAAAAAAAAAATCAAGAGATGCAAAAGTTTTGGTTCGTTCGACAGCTTTGAAAAGTAATGCTTCACATACTGAAATACATTACTCAGTGACCAGTTACAATGGTACATAAAATCAAGCTAACTTAGTTAGCCACAAAAACAAAACTGAGATCCACGCAGAAACCACAACCATACAATGCACTGGAAGCAACAGTATTTTACTGACAGTACAGTATAAAGTGACAGCACTTTGTGTCCAACTTTTCCACCTTGTATTTGCTGCACATCTAGCCTTATAAAATCCAACATGTTGTTCTCTTTTCTGCCACCAGAGGGGCGAGGAAGCTCCCTCATCACTGCTTTATCTGGATGCATTGAGGAGTTCCAAAACTGTACTGATGCACAGTATTGTCAGTTAGTTCAGTCAGCACATACCTATTCCTCCCAAATATGGGCTGATGGCAGTCCATGCCCCGATGCTGCCTCTACTCATCTTCTGACCAATGGCAAGCTCCAAGTAGAATAAGGGAACACCCTCTAGAATCAGCATGACCAAATATGGAATCAAGAATCCACCTGAGGGTGAAAACATACTTTTATAGTAAAAACATAAAAGTTAACATTTGAACAATAGCACTGTTGGGTTTCACAGCACCACAGATGATTTGTCATTTGTTAAAATGACAAATCATCTGTGGTGATTTGTCATTTGTTAAAATCTAAACTGGATATGTGAAGGCATTTCTTCTCTGCATGCTCTTTGTTCTTCAAACAAAGAGAGCTATTTGACACTCATCTCCACAGGATGCCCCACCTCACACCTCAGTAAGAGCCAAATCTCAAAACTTGATTGGACAGTACTTTTAGGCCCTGTTTAGACGACAACGTTTTTTTTAAAAACGGAAAAGTCTGTCCTTTGCGTTTTAAAAAACTTCTGCGTTTATATGACGACATTATTGAAACGATCCCTGTTCACATGGAGCCGCAAAATCTGCTGGAAACGCTGTAGTATGCACGCCAGGCCAATGGGTGGCAGTGTAAATTTGCAAAGCAACACCATGGCATGACGCCATGCACCTGCGCTGAAGAGCCTTCCTCTACAAAGCGGTGATTACAAACCAAAACAAAGAAGACACAATGGCGAAAGCATGCACAGATAACTTTGTCTGGATGGACGACGAGGTGGAGTTGCTACAGTAACAGATCTACACTTCACTTCAAATCAACGGGGTGTGCAGCACAAACAGAGCTCGGCATTGTTGTTGTGATGGTCGACTTTCTCACGCGTGCCTAGTGACTGGGACCGTAATGCACATGTGCAAAAAGTCTCCGTTTTCAGAGGAACTGCATATTGCAGGTTTACATGACAACGGAGACACTGCCATTTCCAAAAAGTTGCACTCTGGAACCCATTTTCAAAACGTTGTGTTTTCAGGCACCCAAAATGCCACTGTCATGTAAACAATCAGCCAAAACACAACTAAAGTTTACCTTTTTCAGTTGAAATCGTTGTCGTATAAACGGGACCTTACAGTGACATGCCCCACGACGTGCCCTTGCTCACGGCAGGAGCAAAAATCTGGAAACCTGAGAAATTAGAATGCAAACACAAGGTTTGCAACTAACTTTCCAGCAACAAGGAGAACCAAGTTGAGTTAGTTCCTCAGCGTCTAACTCTGCAAGGACCCAGAGCGACCGGCTTCCTCAGATCTGCACTTTCAGAACAAGGACATGACAAAAACTGCCACTGGAACCACAGCTCTTTCCAGCCTTCCTCTGCTGGCTCACAAAACCAGCATGCCTCATACCAACTCTTCCCTCCATTCATTCAAGGATCGGTAATGTTTCAACTGGGCATAGCTTTATCACAGCTGTACAGACTAAGCAAGACTGTTTAACTTGTATGTATTTAATGCTGTTTACTGAGTTGTTGTTGTGATTGTTTGCGGTTAGGTTGTTGGTTAGTTGGCTTTGCCAAAGCTGAGTGATGTTAGTTTGCTAATGCTGTTTGTTCACAATGTCTTGCATGCAACTTAACATCCTCTGCACTAATCCAGACCCCTTGCAACACATATCACATTCACATAGACTCATTTACAAATTTGCTTTCAACAGAGCTACACCCAAAGAGGCAACTCAAAGTCTCGCTTCCCTTCCTTTGTCTTTTTCCTGACCACACGCTAAACAAGACCCTGATCTGAAGCCAGCTTTGATTCAGCCATCTTGTAGTTCTCTGTTGTAAGCCATTTTGTTTTGTAGATCAAACTGCCCTTTGATTACCACACCCGCCTTTGTCTTTCTCTCTCTTGCACGCATGCACACACACACACACCAAGCTTTTATATAGTTAGTTAGTTAGAATTTGTGTGTTTTGGTTTTGCTTTGCTTACTTTATGAATAAATATATTTTTTGGAATCACACCTGCTGTCTGTTTAATGTTGCACAAGAGTGAATGAATAGTCAACCTCTGCTATGTCAAGAACTCCGAAATCCTTCAGGCTTTACTATCAATTTTGGTTATTGTTATTAATTTAATTATTAATCAAAATTCCAAATTGATAGTTTAGTGAACTTTATGAGACTGATATCTTTAACTGGCTATCATTTTTTCCTTTTTCGGAATGGTGCCCCACAAGGTGATTTAATGTAAATTAAGTCATATTATTTAACATAACTAATAATTACTATTAATAATATATTAATTTTTCAGATAGCCATTTTTATACTTTAATTGGAGATCTATTACAAGGTCAGGTTAAAGCTTAAGTCCCAACAAATGGTGCCGCCATGTAAAACATAGCACTGGTGCCTAGATCACAACAAATACACTGCCTGGCCAAAAAAAAAGTCGCCACCTGGATTTAACTAAGCAAATAGGTACGAGCCTCCTATTGGATAATTACTGCATGGGCGATTATCTTTCAGCTGGCAACAAGTTATTTAACCCCAACTGGTGCAATGAGTTGCTTCTCATTTCCTAAACAACCATGTCAAAAGACACATCCCGTGATCGTGGAAAAGATGTTAGTCTGTTTGAGAAGGGTCAAATCATTGGCATGCATCAAGCAGAGAAAACATCTAAGGAGATTGCAGAAACTACTAAAATTGGGTTAAGAACTGTCCAACGCATTATTAAAAACTGGAAGGATAGTGGGGACCCATCGTCTTCAAGGAAGAAATGTGGCCGGAAAAAAATCCTCAATGATCGTGATAGGCGATCACTTAAACGTTTGGTGAGATCAAATCGAAGAAAAACAACAGTAGAACTCAGGGCTATGTTTAATAGTGAAAGTAAGAGCATTTCCACACGCACAATGCAAAGGGAACTCAAGGGATTGGAACTGAACAGCTATGTAGCCTTAAGAAAACCACTAATCAGTGAGGCTAACTGGAAAAAAAGGCTTCAATTTGCTAGGGAGCATAAAGATTGGACTCTGGAGCAATGGAAGAAGGTCATGTGGTCTGATGAGTCCAGATTTACCCTGTTCCAGAGTGATGGGCGCATCAGGGTAAGAAGAGAGGCAGATGAAGTGATGCACCCATCATGCCTAGTGCCTACTGTACAAGCCTGTGGGGGCAGTGTTATGATCTGGGGTTGCTGCAGTTGGTCAGGTCTAGGTTCAGCAACAGTATGTGCTCAAAGAATGAGGTCAGCTGACTACCTGAATATACTGAATGACCAGGATATTCCATCAATGGATTTTTTCTTCCCTGATGGCACGGGCATATTCCAAGATGACAATGCCAGGATTCATCGGGCTCAAATTGTGAAAGACTGGTTCAGGGAGCATGAGACATCATTTTCACACATGGATTGGCCACCACAGAGTCCAGACCTTAACCCCATTGAGAATCTTTGGGATGTGCTGGAGAAGGCTTTGCGCAGCGGTCAGACTCTACCATCATCAATGCAAGATCTTGGTGAAAAATTAATGCAACACTGGATGGAAATAAATCTTGTGACATTGCAGAAGCTTATCGAAACAAGGCCACAGCGAATGCGTGCCGTAATCAAAGCTAAAGGCGGTCCAACGAAATATTAGAGTGTATGACCTTTTTTTTTGGTGGTGACTTTTTTTTTGGCCAGGCAGTGTAGTATCCCCTCTTTTACAGTATCACTATTATAATTTATTTTTGGTGCCTCCATGTGATGCCCAGAATTGTTTACAATTCTAATGGTGCCCCTTGGTGAGGCCTAATATTGTAGTTTACAACAGCAGTCATAATGGTAGTTTGTTACTGGGCCCTTTTTTACAGTATACATGTAAGTGTTTGGTGATTCCTGTCCTCACTCGCAGAACAGCGCAGTTTTGGTACTTGGCATGTGCCATGATTGGCAATTGTAGCACCTATATACACCGATCAGCCAAAACATTAAAACCACTGGTGGGTGAGGTGAGTAACATTGTTCATTCTGCTATAATGCAATGTTCTGCTGGGAGACCTTTTTCAAAATTTCTACAATTTTGGTAAGGCCTTGCAAGTGACTGACTTGAAATTTGGTACACATATCCACCTCAATGTGCTTTGCAAAAAGCCTCTTCGACCATAGAAGCCAGACATGATGCGGGTTAACCTAATTTGCATAATGTGAAAAACAGTAATGTGACATCTACCAATATATTTTAACTCTAATAACACCAAACTGGATTGGCTGTGGCTCAGGAGGTAGAGCAGATTGTCCACTAATTACAAAATCATCAGTCTGATGCCTGGCTTCCCAGTCCGTATGTCAAATCCTTGAGATATCCTTGGGCAAGATACTGAACCCCAAATTGCTCCCAGTGGCTGTTCCATTGGTGTGGAAGTGTGTATAAGCTGAGTAGCAGGTTGAATCTTACTGTATATGGTAGCCTTGGCCACCAGTGTATATGTGAATATGACATGTGGGGCTCTAGTTTCGCAGGGTGGTGCAGGGTGGCGAACCCGTGCAGAGCTAGTTTCGAGCAGCGCAACCCGAGGCGCCCTCAGTTTGGTAGTTTGGTAGACCGAGGTGCGTTGAGATGGGTGTGGTGGCGCAGCAGGGGGAGGTGTCGACAGATCCAGCTTGGCGCAGTGACAGTTTCGTGCCAAAAGGCTTCGCCGAAGGTGCGCTAAAAGCTCACCAACTGAAACCACGTCTACTGTCAGCGCAGGGGGAGCACAGCTGGCGTAAGCCGAAGTTTGGCTGACGGGCGGACAGTGCGCACACGTCAACAAAACCTCACAGGCAGGTTTCCAGAATATCAGGCACATTAACGATGCAATAAATAACCAAAAAAACACTATTCAATGCAACTATCAGAAATCAGCACATAAATGTATCTATATATCAACTGTCCCGTCACATCTGATGTCAGATCAAAGGGGATTGGCACTGTTTGGCACGTTTGGCACACGTAATGGAAACCCAACCTGGTTTGATTAACACAGTTGCAAACTAATGAGTTCACATCCCTCTCAGACAACCACAAACAGCCACAGCATCAGATAGGGAGTATATATTCAGCAACTGTCATCTTAGAAAAGTCAGAAGAAAAGAAACTGAGTGAGACTGCAAGAGAGAAAGAGAGAGCGCGTGCGCACGAGAGAAACG